TGAAGTTGTATTTCTCTTCTCTCCTTCTCCCATCCTCTGGTGGTCTGGAGTGTCTGTCTTGAATTTAATTTCCAGAAGGAACGAAAAATCTCCCTTAAATGACGTCTTTTGAAAAGCGCTGGCCTGCCAATTGTAGAACTTGTCAGCAACCGGAAAATTGGGCTGAAAATTGTGTTTTGTGTGAACTAGCCTCTAGTAAGTCTCGCAGATTCACTAAGCGGCCAAGTAAGCCGTTTGTATATTTTCAGAGCCGTATGTGCAGATGTGTGTGTGTGTGTGTGTGAGCACACACACACACACACACATCCAGGGTGGATGTAATAGAAGCACGCGGTACATATGATGTATATACTCCACACTGCCTGTGTGTATTTGTGTGTACTCCGGACCACCCGTATGCCTTAAGTGTCCCGGGGTGAGGCCTGGAGCTGGATTAATTACGGCCCCCGTCTAAGGTGGTTTTGTGGCAGGTTGTGGGGGTGGGGGTGGGGTTGTTACACCTGTGAACTCCGTCACTGTGAAGCCTGCGCCAGCTCCTTGACATGGCCTGTCTGCCTGGGTGAAAATGACTCCCAGCTTTACTGACTCCCGCCTCCCCCCCTCCGCCCCCCCAGGCCCGGGAGAAAAATCTAACACATATGTTTCATATAGTCATTTGTCTAAATGTGAGGAAACATCGAGACCAAAAGTCCAGAAATGTTTTAAAAGGAATGAAAAAATCGCAGCTTTCCAGCTGGACGGGGGAAGTGGGAGTGATTCTGTGAAGAAATACTGTCTCGTTGCAGAGACATATGCGAGCTGCCCTTTAGTGGGACCCCATCTGATATAAATGGTGCTTCAACCCCCCCCCCCCCCCCCCCGTGCCCACCGCCCCCCAGCCAGAGTGGGTTAGAGGTGTCGCGCCTCGTGCTGACACGGATGAATCTGTCACCTGAAGAAATCAGTCTTTGGTCGAAACAAAGTTTTGGGGTGGAGGGTGCACGGAGGGATGGATAAAGAGAGAGAGAGAGAGAGAGAGAGGGAGTGAAAGAGAAAGAGTGGGGGTTAGAAAGGTGACCTGTCAGCCCAACCCATTTATCATTGGGGCCAAACGGTCGCCTTTGTCCTTTTCAGCTGACTAGCCAAAACATCCTGTGGTAAGCAAGTTTTCAAGTGACATATAGTCATGTGTTATACCGTTTTTTTTTTGTTTTGTTTTTTATCACTTGCTGCTGTTAGGTAGGGCTAAGTCAAAAAGTTCTAAGACAGCTGGGTTTTTTTTTCAGAAGGTGTCAGATTTCAAGGACTGAAACGCAACTTTGACAAGTTTTATGAATAAAACGTTACCAAGTGCTGAGGGGGTTTGGACCCTCAACAATTTAATCAGAGCGTTCGTCGTCGAGTTTTTAACAAAGCTCCAATGGAAAACTTGTTGAAATTACTGGTTTTCTTCTTTTTTTTATTCTGAAAACCAGGAGGTAATTTGAAAGAAGCTCAATTTCACTCCTTAAACAAAGCAAAGAAGTCGGCCGTGACGTGGAGCTGAAGAAGAAAAAAAGTCATTTGTTGGAGTGTTTTGACTTACAGTAAATGGAGGAAATGTAGACATTATTATTATTCTTCTAATTAAAGTTTTCTTTCAATTTGTTTCAGATGTTTTTCTCTTAACTGTGACTAATGAGCCCATTAATAATACAAAAAAAAATTAGTTTTGTTTTAGTTAAATAAAATCTAGAAATTCTACGTCTTCTTCCCAGACAGTGAAGGGTTAGGGTCACTGAAGGTCGAGCCAGGAAGCTGCCTGCGGTACAGTATGCAGTATTTCCTTCTAATTGGTAATTATTATTTTTGTAAATATAGCAGTGGGTCCCATGATGTGATTTTGCACAGGTTTATGTGACTATTAAAAAGTTGGCCCGCTGCAGACCACATTAATGAGGACCTCCAGTTGGAGCGGTCAGGTAGAGTGGGGCCTGTGGTGGACAGAGAGCTGACAGACGGAGACCTCATCCTCTGGAGAAAATGGTGGGCTGGTTTGGGTTTGGCAGTGTGTGTGAGTGTGAGTGTGTGTTGTGAACACTCAACATTAGGTATTCACAATGTTGGTAAAAGAAAAGCTGTGTTTTTAACTATCGTTAATCATTTGTACATTTACCATCAAACATTAGGTAATTTAAAGCTAAAGACCATAATAATCAGGGCAAGAAAATAAGCTAAAAAGCAAAAAAAAAAAAAAAATCTCAAAACTGAATTTGATATCTGAGAGCAAGTTACGAACAAATTGTCACAGTCAGAAGTTTACCGTTACAAGACCGCATGTACATATTACCACAGTAATAATTCATAAATAAATAAAATCATAATATTCAAACATTATTATATCATATAAATATGAATAAACGTTGAGTTCAATTCTGCGTATCTTAGAGCTGTCAATCAATTAAACATTGGTGATTAATCACACGATTGTCTATAGTTTTCTCATAATGAATGGTCAAGAATGTCCCAGCATGCCTTTGGGATTATTAAAATGTTAAAGTTTCAGTTTTTGTTTTTGTTTTTTTCTTTGCTCTTTGACTTGATCTACTCTGTTAGTAACTCATTTAGCAGTAGCTGGGATTTGAAGATGTATTTGCTTTAAAAAGACAATTGTATTTATCTATTTACCTTAGGCAGCCATGAAATATCTCAAAGATTTTTAGTCCCAGATTTCTCAGCTCAGTCAACAACCATCAACTCTACTTTCAGCCCACTGTACCGTCAACACAAGTTAGGATTTCACCTCATAAAAGCTACTTAAGGAACAGAACAATAGCCATAAACCAATAGATGAATTATCGAAAATTATCTAATTAATGTCCTAAAATAGGATGCATAAAAGTATGGCCTAATAATATCACGGACCTTTGGTAATTGTGAAACAAAGCGCTCGGTCTGAACACGACGTGCCATAATCAGTCCACGTCCACGTCCAGTGAGTGATGACTGATGTGCTTCACTGACGGCCTGTCAATAACCAGCATGGGCAGGAAATAAAGAGCGGCCCCTTCTCCCCCGATGGACAGCAACATAAAGAGAGGTGGGGGGTGGTGTTGGTGGGGGTGGGGGGCAGATAGATCATAGTAACAGCCAATAATAAATGGATCATAGTTCTATGTTTTTAAAGCCAGTGGCAGCTGTATTGAATGGGAAACCTTGTGTGGGGGGAGAAAATAGAGGTTTATTGATCAGACACACCGTGTCG